CCCACCTCTGAGGCCCAGCGCAGGTGACCGCAGCCCACGCCTCTCTTGCCCTCAAAGGGGCTGCTTCACCCATCTGGGGAGCTAACTACCCAACGGAGGCAGGGGACGCTAGCCTCTCCCAGCTCCAGCGAGGACAAGGACCTGAGTAGCTGGAAACCTGACTTCACCTCTGCCGTAGCCCCTCCCCTAGCGAACAGCCCCTCCCCCGTCCGCTGTGCCCCTTCAGCTCTGCTTTGAATCACTGCCGAGCGAGCACCGCAGACTAGGCAGGAAGGGGTTAACGCAGCTACTGAGCGCCAGGTGAGGCACCGCCCATCTTGGCCTTCAGGTGTGTGGGTGGGGAAGAGGAGGGACAGTGACCTTAAGGGCTGATTTTTTGCCCCCTGGTGGCTAAATCTGGCTTAGCAGCCGCTGGCAAAAACATGCTCACAGGGGGATTAGCCGAAGAAGGGCATTGGCAACAACAGTAGAGTGTTCCTCTTGCGGGAACGGCACCTTCCGAGGGAAGGAGATCATTCTGGGAAGGCTAGTGGAAGGAGGGAGCTCCTACGGTCCCTGCCACACCATCCCGATCAGCAGGCTGCCTCAGCCATTTCCAGATCCTTGCCTTAGGGGCTCTGCTTGTGGGTCCCAAACACCTAGATGAGCGTAGGAAAAAAACAGAAGATATAGGCCCTGTCCTCCCAGGGTCTTCATCTAATAGAGAGAGTCCATAGGAGAAAACTACTCCTACCTTTTGTTTCTGTGCCCCAGGCCTTCCCAGACCCAGGCATCAAATATAAACCTCCAGCCTGGCTTCAAAGCTCCTACCAGCTACCCCAACCTCCTTCAGCTTCTCTCCCCTCCAGCCAAGCTGCATTCTGGGTCCCTCCCAGTAAAAAGACTCCACTTGAGGGATTCCAGGTGCTCTTATCTCCAGCATGGCTGAGACCCTTCCTCCCATTTGCCCTCTCTGGTTAGCAAAGCCAATAATCTTGAAGAGCTCCTTCCCCTCCCCACTTCAATTGCCTATGTTTCTCCCTCTCATTTCCCACTACTTTCAAGACTTCTTTTTGTATAGGCCGTTCACCCAATTGGAGACAATTCTGTCCTCCTTGTACCCTGTGATACCTCAACAATTGCCTTTTCTCCCAGCTCGATGGTAAGCCTTGAGTCCCAGCTACCGAGAGGGACGATCCCTTGAGCCCAGGAGTTCTGAGCTGTGATGCACTGTGCTGATGGGTATCCATACCAAGTTCAGCATGATATGGTGACCTCCTTGGAGTGGGGGACTGCCAGGTTGACTAAGGAAGGGTGAACTGGCCCAGGTCAGAATGGAACAGATTGAAACTCTGGTCCTGATCATAGTGGAATTGGGCATTCCAGCCTGGACAACATAAGGACATCCGTCTCTTTATTTTTTTCAAACACCAACTCAAAAAAACTGGGCCTGGTGGCTCACACCTGTAATCCCAGCACTTTGGGGGGGCCGAGGCAGGTAGATCACCAGGTCAGGAGTTTGAGACCATCCTGGCCAACATGGTGAAAGAAACTCCATCTCTACTAAAAATACAAAAAAAATAGCTGGGCGTGATGGCATGCCCCTGTAGTTCCAGCTATTCAGGAGGCTGAGGCAGGAGAATCTCTTGAGCCCAGGAGCTGGAGGTTGCACTGAGCCGAGATTGTGCCATTGCACTCCAGCCTGGGCAAGAAAAGTAAAACTCCACCTCAAAAAGAAAAAAAAAAAAAAAAAAAAAAAAAGGCCAGGTGAGGTGGCTCATGCCTGTAATCCCAGCACTTTGGGAGGCTGAGGCAGGCAGATCTCCTGAGGTTGGGAGTTCGAGACCAGCCTGACCAACATGGAGAACCTATCTCTACTAAAAATACAAAACTAGCTGGGCATGGTGGCACATACCTGTAATCCTAGCTACTTGAGAGGCTGTCAGAGAATCACTTGAACCCTAGAGACGGAGGTTGTAGTTGCAGTGAGACAAGATTGTGTGCCATTGCACTCCAGCCTGGGAAACAAGAGCAAGACTCCCTCTCAAAAAAAAAAAAAAAAAAAACTTTGGTCTGAGAGTCCAAAGTACAAGACCTTGGCCTAGTCACTCCCTGTCTCTGGGTTGCAATTTCTTCAAATGTAAAACAAGAGGCTTAGGTGCCTTTATCTTCATGTTCTTCTTTATCCTGTAGATAGCCATTAAATAGCTGGATTGTTGAGAGGAAACTCACTTAGCTCTGATCTGCATGGGGCTAGCAGAGCTCATAAACCCTGGAGAAGCTATCAGAGGCAGGGCCTCAGAGAAAGCCAGTCAGTCAGTCACCTGTGTCTCGCCCACTGCCCCCTTGGTCTGGCAGTTCATCCTGGGAACATCTCATTCTTGCCACTAATGGAAGGCAAGAGGCTTTCTGAGATTGTGCTGGAGGGGAAAGCATGCCCACAATGTATTTAGTTACTGCAGTAATCTGCTTTAATATGTAGCACTATAGGACTTTTTGTTTGTTTGTTTGTTTGTTTTGCTTTTTTGTTTTTGAGATGGAGTCTTGCTCTGTTGCCAGGCTGGAGTGCAGTGGCTCAGTCTCGGCTCACTGCAGCCTCCACCTCCCAGGTTCAAGCGATTCTCCTGCCTCAGCCTCCTGAGTAGCTGGAACTACAAGCGTGCACCACCATGCCCAGCTAATTTTTGTATTTTTTTTCTTTTTCTTTTTTAAAGACAGGAATTCACCATGTTGGCCAGGCTGGTCTTGAACCCTTGACCTCAGGTGATCCACCTGCCTCGGCCTCCCAAACTGCTGAGATTACAGGCGTGAGCCACCACGCCTAATTTTTGTATTTTTAGTAGAGACAGGGTTTCACCATGTTGGCTGAGATGTTCTCAATCAATGTCTTGACCTCGTGAACCACCTGACTCAGCCTCCCAAAGTGCTGGGATGACAGGCGTGAGCCAGAACTGTTATTTTTGAGAGATGGAATGTTCTCAGGTGAGGAAACTGCATGGTGAAGGTCCAGAGTGGTGAAAGGACTTGCCTGAAAACATAAGGCTGGTGGTGATAGCTGGAAGAGGTACCCAGGCCTCCTGATTCCCTGTCCAGACTCTTTTCACAACACCACTGCAGCACTTGTTCCAACTTTCCATTGGACTTCTTCCTGTGTCTGGCTCATTTCCCTGTGAGGCCATAGATCTGGGAAGGCAAGCTTGGCTCCTTATCTGGACATCCCCCAGAGCCTGGAGGGGTGCTCAGAACCTGCTGTCTCCCAGGTCCCCCTGTTTTCTCTCATCATGACCCTGTTTATATTTATGTAGCTCTCTTACTCGTTCTAAAAAGCCTTCCTTGGATTGTGGACAAAGTCCTGGGCCAGGCATAGTCCCAATCCCAGCCAGACCTAAAACCTACTCTGTGACTTAAAACAAACTGATTCACTTCCCTGGGCCTTGTGTTCTCCATCTGTCAAGACCCATAACCTGGGCAGGCGAGGTGGCTCATGCCTGTAATCCCAGCACTTTGGGAGGCCGAGGTGGGTGGATCACTTGAAATGAGGAGTTCAAGACCAGCTTGGCCAACATGATGAAACCCCATCTCTACTAAAAATACAAAAATTAGCTGAGCGTGATGGTGCGTGCCTGTGGTCCCAGCTACTCAGGAGGCTGAGGCAGGAGAATCGCAACAGAATGAGACAAA